TCTTGATTAGCAAATTGTTCATTTTGTTGATAGTTGTCTTTCGTTTGTTCGCTTGCGTTCACTTACATTGTTGTTACCTTGTTTTGGTTTTGTTTACTAATTGTCTTCATTGTACCACACGCTTTGCCGTGTAAGAACAATAAACAATAAACAATAAAAAATACTCTCCTGCTCTTCTATACTCTCTAGCCCGTCGCTGCAACGCTAGCGTACGCTGGTGACGCTGGGAACGCTAGATCGATATCTATCCTTTCCCCGACACTGCCGCTGGCGTACGCTGGAAGCGCTACGCTACGCTGCCGCAAAGTATAAACGCAGCCTTAGTGCTAATGTAAGAAAAAACAGTGCGTTACCTGTTGAAAGATGTATGACATGTCATTGACGTCGCGACACGAGAATGACGCGTCTTGTGACGTCATCGACAATGATACATTACAGATTACCTTGTCCTTAGCATGATAGGCAAGAATCTAACGTGTACTTGTCACGTCATCTTTTATTGCTAGCTGGTAGCGGACCTGTGCTACGCCTGCGGCGAAAGCTGCTAATTTTGATAGAAAACCGTAGTTTGGCCATAGACTTACCACATCCCGGCGACATAATGGGCGTGGCTGCGTACTTCATTCAAATGTGTTGGTTGCTGTGCTTTGGGTGGAATATTGGCCGTTTTGGTACAGCTCTAATGATGTATTTGTCCAGTAAACGACACAATGACAGTTGTCCCAAAAGGGGGTACCTCACAAAAAAATTGGATCATGCGCTAAGTCTTGGTGAGGTACGCGGCCACGCCCCTTCCGCTTTGGGATGTATACGTTTGCAAAGTGTGCTTGCTTGGCGTGTACGATGCAATCTACCAGAACCGTGATCTATGGGTCAAATTATGTGCAAATTTTGTTTCAGATATATCGCCAGCGAGTGCTGATCAGGAAGGCGAAGAAAGTACAATTGTGATAAGGAAGCAGAAACCTCAGAGTAAGTGTTGCATTTCTGCTTGAATGAAAGACAGAAACCAGAAATCTACTGCTTAGGACTACTCGCTGACAGTCTGTATTCGACAGATACACCTCATAGAGCCCCTCATGAACCGTACAAACGTCCGCTCGATTCCTTTGATGAAGGTGTCGGAGCTGTTTCATCTGGTATGCGCTTTCCACTGTTGATTCGATATTTTTGTCTTTATATTTACTTACAGTATTCACTAGTAGCAGGATTGTTGTTTGTCTATCTATATAATGCAATGTTTCAGAAGAGTCTACAATCGTGCCAGAGCTTAGCCTCATAGAGGTCGAAGGAGGGAGAGGAACAGGGAGAACAAAGCTTGAACCAATGATTTTGAAGCCGCGTAAAGTCGGTCAGTTGCAATTATTTTTCAACTGGCTTCGAGAATGGAGTTTCCAGAAACCCAAATGTAGTTCCAAGCAGCGTGCAGACTTCGCGACGATTCGCTGTAACGCGATTTGACGTGCATCGACGCGCTACACTTGAAGCAGCGCTCCAATGCTATAGACGCGGGCGCACAGCGGAATCAATTGGCGCCGGCCGCTTGTACACTAAAGGAGTACACATCGCCTAATTACGCAGCCTAGTATCGGTCGACACTGGTCGCTAGGACTTTGAGAAAGTATAGAAGAACGGGAGAGTCCAGAACGTGGGAAGGCAGCACCTGTCCTCCTGTAATCATATATTCTCTTGAAAGAGAAGCAGCCAGCGCCGATTGATTCCCGCCTGCTTCTGCGTCCGCGTCTTTGAAATTAAAGCGCTTGCAATTGTGGCGCGCCGATGCGCGTCATCGCGGAGTCTGAACGGTGTCGACACGTAAAAGCTCCCAAAAGCTTGATGCACTGTAACTTAAAAGTCCCAAGAGAACTTGGTAGATTTTTGGAGCCTGTTCATGTTGCAAACTTTTAGATCCTTATGAAGTTGTAGCAGCACAGTACTGCGAATTCCAAAAGCTGTTCATTGCAGTAGTCAAAAAGTTCTATAATTTTCAGTTCATCCGGCCCCTCCACCTGATCCAAGCGTTCGCCGATCTACGCGCAACAGGATGAAGCCTGTTCGTCAGTGGCTTGGCGAACAACCAGTATATGCAGTTTCCCCAGGAGGTTGGTCAAATAGCCGCTCATACTAGTGCTACCTTTTCTGTCTCCTTCACACCCCTTCCTTTCCTTCTCGAACGCAAGGATAATAACCCCATGTGTTTATAGGCAGCAGAACACTGCAAGGAGTTACCGAAGTTGAGGTACGGGAACAGCGTTGGCTGAGAGTTCGGACCGTGAGCTATAACCTGGCTATGCAAAGGGAACAGCAAATAGCCGGTGAGTGCAATTATTATAGTTGGTTCAATTCCATTTCTTTACTCTGAGCTAGTAGGGGTCCATAACGTTCGAGGCACGGCATCGCACGCGAGTCTACGCGTTTTAGCTAGTTGACTCAACACCCCAGGTGAATTAGGTGAAGGTCGTGACAGCTTATCAAACGTTTTGGGTCCACTAGGTAGGATAAGCTCATTCGCGTGCGATTTCGCGCCTCAGATGTGAGAAACTTGAAGCCCCAAGTTGTTGAAATATCTTGTACAAACCTTTTTTAGCACACAAGCGCGCTCTTCGTGAACAGCGTAGACAGGAGGCGCGTGAACGCAAGCAAAGACGTCTGCGAGAGTTACGTGCGCGCCATAGAAGAGGACTGGATCTTGAGATAACCGTTGATTCGATTGTTACAAGTAGTGATGAAGAAGACTCTGATTAGATTTTATGAAATAACCCTTTCCATTTCTACTTATCAATTTTTTTACGTCCGATCATTGGGCGTACGACACTCACTCTTATGCTTTTACCATGTAAATAGCATTTCAGCTAAATTATTCTGTGAAATAGTGAATTGTCTAACTTGTATCTTTCTACTCGTTTATAAACATGGATCATATAGCCAGTGTGCAATTATCTGATCTTCAGAAGGCTGCATCGTTATGCGGCCTCAAAAATAGCCATTTAGCGGTTTATGTGACGCCAGAAAAAATACGTATCGTATTAGTGACGAAAAAATGGTTACAAAAGATATTCAGACTAGGATTCACACGAATCGGTTCCTCTGTCAGACAAAGCCCATCAGTCTTTTGCATGCATGATGGCAGGCGGGCAAGACAACCGTAGTTCACCGCGCTGCCGCGCGCGGCGTGTTTGGCGGTCGCGGCAAGTTCTAACCTAGGAGTCCGCCAACTTACCATGGAACTTGAACCTGGGTAGATCGATAGAGTCTATAAGGTTATTTACAAATATAGATAGCAAAACTGCAACCTGCATTTCACAAGCAACTTATGAGCAGGTAAAGTTTGTAATGGTGCAGTAGGGTGGAGGCTTGGTGGTGAGCTGTGAAGCATAAGCGAGGAATCGCATACGTCGAATCGAGTCGTCGAACGTCGAACCTTACCACTGAACCACCACGACTCGATTCGACATGCGATTCCTCGCTTATGCTTCACAGCTCACCACCAAGCCTCCACCCTACTGCACCATTACAAACTTTACCTGCTCATAAGTTGCTTGTGAAATGCAGGTTGCAGTTTTGCTATCTATATTTGTAAATAACCTTATAGACTCTATCGATCTACCCAGGTCTCCATTCAAAGTTCCATGGTAATTTGGTGGACTTCCCTGGTCAGCCTACGTCAGTTTTCGTGGAGCAACCAAACCTATGGGAGTTTAAGCAAAGAGCATGGGATGATATCGGTTGTTTCCGTCCCTTTGACATTCGCACTCAAACGGCTGGTCAGGGAAACTCGTCCCTAGTGTGCGCCGCGTGGCTCATCGCGCCCACCGAGGCAATCACGTTCTTCTTGTCACATATATCCCGACACCGTGAACGAAAGCATCAAATCGTCCGTAACGAACAGTAGGGTCATTAGGTCATACATCTTTATAGGATGCACTGAACAGTGCAGCTTACTGAAACAATTGTCCCTCTTCTCCATATAACCCTGCAGGTCCAGCCTTAGTGAAGCGCAGACGACAAGAACTGTGCGCGGCAGGTTCCCCGAGATAGATCGTTAGGCTGCTTTCATCTATTGCGTTAGCGCTTCGAGCGGAAAGGAAACTATAGACATAGATTCATCATTTTGAGCGTTTCGCGGAGAGTTTTCAACTTATCGCGCGCATCGCTGAAAACGCTGACGTACGCTCAGAACGAAAGATCAATATCTATGCTTTCCTAGTCGATTGAAACGCTGAGCGACGTCATCGTAAGTATTCATATCCCGGCATTGTTGTGTTAGGCAGCGGTATTTTCCCAAGTAGTTTGACGAAGCTGGCCAACAGCAGCGCGATTGAATCGCAGCTACAGTTTTTTAAACCACTAGGTTATATTCTATTTTTATCGTTGAAGAATTCCCATACAGAATAGGGTGAAACAGGTATTAACAGACGTGCGAATGTGGAATCATAATGATGGTTAGCGAGTTAGAGTTCAGTGACTAAACATGCCTCCACAGCAGACTAAACCCATATTTCTGCCGTCCCAGTCGCCTCATTTGCTTGCTTTCGGCCCACTGTTGTTGGAGTGCTTCCTCGCGCGCAACAGCCTGAAAACAGAAATAGAAGTAGATGCGCAAACCGCACTATGTTATCTATCTGTTCATCGATCCAGGTATTAACGTCTAACTTATTGAAGAACTAACCAAATTCGCAAGATACGTGATCTGGTGCTTCCGTTTGGATGTCGCGTCGGCTGGATTCTTTGACTTCGGCAAAGGAGCCATCGCATCTTTAGCGCGTGCAGCTACGTGCAAATTTTTCAGTAGTGTTGCACGAACATCTGGCCCAAGCGCCTGAAATTATTTTCCAGAAACGACACTACTAGTGCGTAAATGAGGGTCAATCCTGTCTCGAAAGTCAATCGCGGAAATAGGTTATTAGAATCTCCTCGCGGTGGGAAGTGGCGGAATCTCGGAATCGAGAGAATCGGCGAGCGAGTCGGAAAAAGCATGGAAATGAACAGTTTGTTTTCCCAGGAGAGAATTGGCAAAATCGATTTGCATAGTCTTTGCGGGATTCTCCTAACTGCGCGATTCTCCAACTCGGCACATTGCATGGACAGGGCCGAAGCTGAGAGACCCGCGCTAATTGGAAGGCCAGCTGGCTAGAAATACGCTGCCATATGATCCCGTCAACTTGCATCGTCGAACGTGTCGGATATGGCACGATTGTTGGAGCGGGCCGTTGTGGCCAACGTCATTGGTGGAAGTGCTGAGTGGAGGGCCAACGCCCCTTCGCCACCCTTCCACCGGTGACGTTGGCCGTAACCTACCACTTCCTAGCAATCGTGCCCACTGCCTTTGAAAGCCGCTTTTACTCCTCTAATAACTAGGAAAAAGTCAGCCGTTATGCACTAGTAATACTCACGTCATCCACTCGTATATCCACAATATCTCCCGCAATAGAGTTGAGACTGCGATGCTCCATCGGACCCATTGGCCCTATTTCATACTTCATAATAAGTCGATGGGCCTCCTGAAAAGTTGTCTATGAATAACCAGACCTTAACCAGAGTTACCACGTCTAGTAACTTCATAAATGAACCAGCTCTGAGATGTGGTGAATGATTGCGCAGTCTAGCGCTGGATGGACCTGCCGGATTGTATCTGCGCAACCCCGGTACCTTTAGCCCCCACAAAGACTATTAAATACGATATAAATAACATAGATTTTTCTGATTTCAAGTACACGACCTAATGCCTAGAACGTGATACAAATCCACTAGAAATCAGTTCACAATCTAGGACACTCACCTCATCTGTAATCACACCTTCCATTGCGGGTTCGCTTGAGGAAGGCCCGACTTCAGGATAGCCGTAAGCTTCGTCTACATCAACATCCTAGAAAAAGTGTTACAATAACATTACAGCAGCCAGAACTCAAGTACAGATGAATATCCGGGCCAGCCAATCCCATGAGTTGGCGATCGACTGACGTGAATGGTTCACCACATGCAGAACATGTCCACCCCATCAGAAGGACGCTCCGCTATGAAGGTTATGCAAGCGACTCACCGATTTCATTGGACGTGATGGTCCTACGACGTCCGCGACGCCGTCGATCAAAGCGGGGATGTCTCCCACTCGAGGAATTTTCGGTTCTGGTGCAGATGACAAGCCAAAGAAATCCGTAGGTAAATCTTCGTCGTCGGAATCATCTGACGCTGCGGAACGTTTTGCAGGAGTTTGTTTCTGCGATGAGGCCTTCAAAGCAAAGACATATTCGACAAAAAGATAAATTACTATAGAAAGGCGATTACGCGGAGGAAAAAATCTTTTAAAATCAGGAAAACTGGTTGGGATCGATTACTTGTCTTACGAGAACGTAAGTGCAGAACGAAGACCTAGGAATTACTCATAGAACTCCAGAGTTATTGACTACTTTTAAGAGACTATGGTGGTTTCGTTTCTCGGTGTTAGACAATTTTCTATCATCTCTGGACTGCGGCAAATGAATAGAAAAACTAGCCTTGTTAGCTGTGCTCGAAGCGGCATTCCTGTTTCTCAATGAAGGTGGAAGCATGATACCAGCACTTTTGCTGCTGGCACCTCCAAGACCACTCGTCGATTTACCACTCTTTGGAGTTGGCAACATGGATAACAAACCGGATCCTTTAGGTTTGCTAGGGAGCATCGGGGACTTGTCCACCTGAAACATGCTTATTTCCACAAAAGAAAAATTCAAATCTTCTCTGCTGAAATCTCGCAAGGTTGGTAGACTTTGGTGCCCAACTTCAGAATTTGTGACTTGCTTTTGATAGTCACAAACCGTTCCGAACTTTCAGGATCTGATGGAGACGTTCCGCGGCAATAAAGAAATCAACCATGCTCGCGGAAGCTCACCAAAAAAGACCTACACTACGACTGACAAGAAGCTTTGTGAAAAGTTAAGGACTACTTACTTTCTCATCGTCGCTGTCACTGTCACTTTTACCGACGATTGCCTTCAGAGCACCAAACGCGGCGATTTTGGCTTTGCCTGCAAAAATCAAGTAATGTCAGAGAAACAAAATGATAAAACACTAGAAGATAGACATGTTCTCGAGCAGAAATAAAAGTAGCAAATGAAGTAGAAAGAAAAATTATGTTATCACTTACCTTTTGAACTCTTCTCTCGACCGTTTGGAATTGCTTCCACTGCATCCTTGGCCTTTTTGCGTTTTTCTTTTTTCTCTCTTTTCTTCGCCTGAAAACACGTATGTCCGAGCTTGAATAATACCAAAAAATTGGCATTATTTACTCTTCACTGCCTACTCTTGAAAGTCGGGAAGATTTTGATGGAGTTTTTTCTTCAAGGGTCGGTTTTTCAAAACTCTGACAAAACAAATTACTTTCTTCCTTACAAAACCACCAAACCCCATAATCATCTCAAAACTAAAAATTTCACAATTATCCCAAAATTCTCCTTTGATACGACCCTCCCCCTTCCCATCCTACCAGCCACCTTACCATAGTTTCTCAGTGTTTTGCCACGGAGCGTTTGGAGAGGGAGCAGGCACCAATTAGCTGTGGACGTAGCTACGAACGCTAGTAGAATGTTCTCTTGAACAGACCTTCTTTTCCCTGCGCCTACGCTCCTTCTCAGCTAGTTTGATCTCCCAATCTTTTGGTTTTACAATGTCTTCCAGCTCGCCTTCAGCATTGGCGGGTAACGTACTGGGTTCGATGACGGATGGTAAATTCAGCGAAGATGTGCCTAGAATAAACTGAAACGATAATATTACATAAAGTAAAAAGAAAACTGATAAATGTAGCCGCACCTTCAAAAACGTCATCTTCTGCAAAATATGAACTGTCCTGCCCATTCATGGATGGAACTTCAGGCTTTACCTTTGTTACCATTGCTGGTGCAGCCTTAAAATTATAATTTGATGTGGTTATGGCAACTGATCTGTTCGTTAGCTCACAAAGTGCACATCATCAGGATGTGGGGAATTTCTGCTGACCAGGAGTGCGACCCCCCCCCTAGTTTCTTCTTCAATACGACCTCCTTCAATCCAGAAAAGTATCGGGTAGGGGGACACGCCTTCATCGACTTCCAGAAACTCTAGTGTGGAAGTGCCTTACTGCCGATCTGGAAGGTAAAAGGGGGTATAGCGCGTCTAAAAGGGGGGATTGTAAAAAAAATCACAATCAAAATCTGTTCTGGGGGATAGAGCAGACAATTAGTTTTGCCCCAACTGTGGCATAACGCGCATGAATTTGGAAACATTAACAATCAGAATTTTTTTCGTTGCAAAATACGACCCTAAAGATACGAGCCCCCGTCACAACGTACGTCACAACGAATGGCTAGAATGCCCTTCATACGACAACGCTTCGAGCGTCCCCACGCGTTTGGGGTCCATAAATAGTCGCAGAAAACGCTGGTGAACGCTCAGCCCCGTCCCTGATACCACAAGAACCAGTCCACATGCCATTTTACTCACTGTACAAAACATTTTAGCAAAGATTTTTTAGGGTCCCTTAAACTGCTCCACCGGGCTCTCGAAAAGTTACCCGCGAAACTTCGCAAAACTGTGGCGCAAATTTCCGTTTCCGATACATATGGTCATGTACCGACACAGTTTAGCTTGGTGGGGCACATGATTTCTATCGATTACTGCTCCTGCTTGCCTGGCAGTTCCTATTAAGTTGCGAAGAAGACGCCAAGCTGGGAAGTAACAGAAGCGTTGATTAAACTTGACAATAGTCCACAGGTCTCACCCATATGAAACGAGTAGTTCGACAGGTAAACAAAAGGAACTAGTGAAAGTGCCCCCCCCCCCACCCCCAGTCCTAACAGCGCCGTCATTTTGAGAAAGGCTGAGACTTACAGCATCATTTATGGCAACATCAGTTGGAGCCTCGTCAGAATCGCTTCCGCTACCACTTCCATAATCCACAAGCCCCATCATACTTCTGAAACCCCAACAATAAAAACACTAATACAAGGCGAGCACTATCACCAAATGATGAACCGAAAAAACGAAGGGTTTGCAGCATACAGAAGCAACTCGCCGAATTGCAGAATAGAGCATATCTCATGAGGAGATTAGAGCGAATTTAAGAGCTATGAATCAGAATGTCATTTTCAGGAACTTCGAAGGCATTTCGAGCGAAGACGTTGAATTTTCGACTTTGAAACTACTATTCTAGATGCTTTAGGGCTAATGGTTGTTTTAATCTTTCTGGACGTAACCGGGCTCGAGGGTATAGACAGGTACTTGCGCAAGTCCCGACACAACACCCACAAAATGAGAAACCCATCCACCACGGAAGAGATACCGTACTCCAGAATTGGCATTGGAGCACACTATCCGCGGGAAACCGCTCTGCGACCGCTCGCCCATCGATCCACGTCTTCACCTCCACTTTCGGGATTTCTAGCCTTTTATCGAGTTTATTTTCTACTTTCTCGGATGGTTTATCATTGTTTGCATAGTTTACACTACACTGGCAAAGATTGTCCAGTGACTGTGCTAATTTGGATCCCTATTAGACTTTTTCGCTTGATTTACGCCTTCTGTTCTCTGTTTCTGTCTGTGTTTGCTATTTATCCACCCTGGGAGATTCCAGAAAAATGCTTGCCACACGCCAACTGGTGAATGTTTTCCAACAACCGCCAACTATGCGACTGAAGGTCCCGCTAACTATGGACGAAGTTATTGGAAGTGTTGACGCTGAAATAACTGATGTTGAAGAGGCACTTCTGCATCAAATCGGAGCCAGAGAGGTCTGTCTTTTTAATATATATGAAATGCACTTCAAGTGATTCTTCGGAAAAGAACTTGCATTGTTATCAAGGTGCCTTTTGCTGGAATGGACAAGAGTGGTCGTGGTGTTTGTGTGAAGCATGTGCAAGGAATTTGCACGATGAATCTAGTCTGTCCTCTTCGTCATATCGTTGGCGATAAAGCTGTTGTATGCAAACATTGGCTGAGAGGGCTCTGTAAAAAGGTATGTTTCAGTTTGCTAGAATTTCAGCTCTCGACAGCTCACGTGAACTCTATTTTTGACCATCAGTTGTATAAGTTGTTATATAGAAAGCTTATGTTAGACAAAGCCGTCAGTTTTCTAGTGTACAGGGAGAGGTAAAAAGCCATATGCTGTATAGTGCGATAATATCGCCAATGTGGCGTTGTGACACATGTGACGCGTCTTCAGGGTGGGACAACTCGTCCAAATAAATAAAATCTGGCTGTTTCTAAAATCATTAGAAAACGCCCTACGCTAAAGCACGCCCCACGCCCAGAAAAAGTCAGTTGTGCGGCTCAAATACTTATGAAAGGAAGGCGAGTAACACAAAAGTGAAGAAAAAACACTGAAATGCTTCATATGCAACTCCATGCTGAAAGGCGCTTATAAGTGCATGAGGAGAAGAAAGGCTGTGTTCGAAAGAGTTTTCCCTTGGTGGTATCGGCTCTTTCTCCACGCTATTTCACTCTGACATTTAAGATGAAAAGAGTTAGTCGCGGAATAACCGCACCGCCAGGTTACCTTTTGAAGTGAAAGGGCGTTGCCATGGTCAATGGACGGGGGTGTGGGCCTCGTCGCAAGCGCGCTGGGCCTTTCCTAACGAATTTGCGAACTGAAAGGGAAAGTGCTACATCATCTATGCCTGGGGAAGGACCATTATGTCCAGAGAAGGCGTCTTCATATAAAATGAATGTGGAGTGTGGCTTTAAGTTCATATTTTTACCAAGTATTTTCTGATTTATTTGAAGGTCAGTGGAGAAAGGCAAGCGTGTTTCCACCGGTTCGTTTTCTTTCAGTCCTCTGAGGAAGTCGAAAATAGAATAGAAGAAGAAATTCTTCAAATCAATTAGTCCCGGCTATTTGTGTTTAAAATTAATAGAACTGAAACTGTTTTCTTTCTGAATAATCACCAAAGGCTAACCCTTTCAAGCGTACGTTTTTCAGGGAGATCAATGCGAATTTTTGCACGAGTATGACTTGACAAAAATGCCTGAGTGTTTTTTCTTCTCAAAATATAGTGGGTTTCCTTTATTTTTATTTTTATTAGTTGGAACAAATTTTGCATGTTTTGCAGTGGCATGTAGTAATCGCGAGTGTCCATTTCGCCATATTGATCCAGAGACAAAGATGAAGGACTGCCCATGGTACGACAGAGGATTTTGTCGACACGGTAGGCTGCTTTTCCATATCATTGGGATGGCCAGGAGCAAATTCGCTTTCTCAAATTCTTTAGGCAGAAGAGTTGGACATATTTCAGTGCCCTTGATCAATATGATAAAGTTCCATCGCCGATTATTTTTCTTTCTTTCAGGCCCCTATTGCAAACATCGCCATCGTCGACGTATTATATGCCCCAATTTCGTTGCCGGGTTTTGCCCGGACGGTAAGATATTTCCATTTTTCTTTACCTTTTTCACTTTTTCATTGGGAATCCGTCACAAAACATTTTTACCTGTGCGCTATTAATTTGGAAATACACGCAGCTTCTTTTCGCTCGCATTGATTCTTTCTCTGCCGTTATGGATGAACAAACCTTCGTATAGCAATACTTGATTCTTGGTCTGAATCGTAACTTAGCATTAATTGCATAACTTCATTTGGGAGCTTTTCCCTGGGTCGACAGATTGGTGATTCAAGCATTTTTCATGAGGCGTTTATAACGTGCACATTGTGTTCTAATTCTAATTTATTTGTCGATGAGACCTTTATACACTGCGATATTGGGATGTCGGAGGATCGAGGACAAATCGGCATGTATGTGGTCCCTTTGACAAATTCTCTGATGCTCCAGTGCCGCATGTTATGAATGCGGCCTGAGAGCATGAAATCTAAATTTTCGGGAATCGAAAACGTCTTCAAGTTTATGCCCAGATTTCGGTCGAACTTAGTTCCAGTCGTAGGGCAAAGCTGGCGGGAATTTCGTACTCTAGGAATTTTTGGCTTCTTTGGCTCGCAAATTAAAGACACGTGGTACGATCACACACAGTTTGGTATGCGTGACTATCAGCCCCCCCCCCACTCCCCCCCCCCCCCCAGCTGTCGAAGCGTAGCGGTTTCCCCGTCCTAACATGCGCAGGAATGGAGATACAGGACCGTGAAACACGCTAATTCCTCCATGCTCCGCCCAATACCTTTTGCGGCGCAGACTCCCGTTCATGCTAACATCCGTCGTGTGCGCGCGTGTCGCGTGCGGCTCTCTTGGCACTTTGCCAAGTCCTGTAATTGCGCTTTGGAATACAAGTAAAACGCAATTTCCTGATGCGGATAACATTTGAGGTGTTGCTCATGCTGCAAAGTCCGAATAGAAGGTGATGAAGATGACAAAGGCTAGAAATGAAGAACAACGAATGTAGATGTAAATAAAACAAAAATGAAAAATTAAGGAAATGCAAATTAATTAAATCGCGTGTAAATTTCTGCAATTCGGCGCGATTCCGGCTCCAAAGCCATAAAAATACTTCAAACTAACGAGTGGGACGCTTAGGCCGTTTTTATTTTCATGTTTTGTGGGAATGCGCGGCCTCCGAGGGATATTGCAGAAGCAGCACAGTTGCTCTTGAGTTCTGGCCCTCGTCATCATCTTCGGTTCTTATTTTGCAGCACCTCAAATGTTATCCGCATCAGGAAATTGCGTTTTACTTGTATTCCAAAGCGCAATTACAGGACTTGGCAAAGTGCCAAGAGAGCTGCGCGCGACACGCGCCGCGCGGACGGCTGTTAGCATAAACGGGAGCAAAAGGCATTGGGCGGAGCATGGAGGAATTAGCGTGTTTCACGGTCCTGTATCTCCATTCCTGCGCATGTTAGGACGGGGAAACCGCTACGCTTCGACAGCTGGGGGCTGATAGTCACGCACACCTGATCGTACCATGTGTCTTTGAAGGCAAACCCCGCGACTGTATATTGTGGATAGTGGCGTTTAACAAGAACCTATAGTGGCTAAGTGACTCACCGGGAAGAAAAAAAACAAGTAAGCCATGGAAAACACCTTGAGTGAGCACCTGGCAGCCTTACTGTACAAGTTCTGCAGACCTGTTCGTTTTATGCCCGTAAAGCGAATCCTGTCGCCTTGGCTCACCAGTCGTTTCTTCGCGTCATCCAGTACTAATACCATCTAACAGAGAAAAAAAAACGGAGAAATCCAAAATTAGCGTTTGAGTTGTGCTAGGGGGGCAACTAGAGAGGCGCCAGAACTGGCACTTCTGAGGGCTGAAGCGCCTCATTACTTTCTGTGAGGCCGCTTACGAATTGCATGAGCGCGAGTGTAGCCCATGTCTGTTGACACTCTTCCTCTGAAGATTGCAGGACAACTTTCTGCATTTCCTTCAAAAAAATAACGCCTGTTTCATAATTTATCACTTGATATTGTCTTAGTTCGTTGCAGGCAAAGAATGCAAATTTGCTCATCCTTCGTTCGCTCTGCCTGCTCCGGAGAATTGTGCTTCCAACAACAAGCGGTTGTTCAACCACCAGATAATCTGCCACAACTGCCATGAACGTGGCCATAAGGCTACACATTGCCCTCACTTGCCAAATCAACAGGGGAAGGTATGTTGTAGCGTATGTAAAGATGCGATTTTGATGTTCTTACCCTTGAAGGCCATTTTTTAGTCATGACCTCTATTTAGCGCATTTTTGGTGCATTCCAGACGTCCGAATCGAATCCTATTTCGAATCGTACGGTGACCACAGTTCAACCAGTTGATCTGTCGATGTTTCCGGACAAGAAAAGTTTGTCGGAAGTCACCTGTTACAAGGTAATGTCTATGTAGTACATAACGGCGCATTTGCAGCAGGATGCCGCAGGTTACTAGTTGAGAGATGATACTGATATGTCATCTAGCACGTTATTAGCGATGAAACCTGCTTAGGACCATTGTCAGTATCTCTCATCGATATGTCGTTGACGTTTTTGACGTCCGTAACCCATTATTCATCGCTTGAAGGTGATGTGCTGAGCTGCGGACTCACACTACATCAGCGCCTGTTTGTGTTCTTTTTGTCATGAGGTCCACTGAAGTGAAGCTGATTTTAGTGCGGTGAAAAGGGTCACTATGCGAATCGCTGTCATAAGGGAGCACTGGCATTTTTATCGAATACTGCTCACTTGGCTCAAGAGCAACGAGAAAAGGATGAGCGAGAAGGCAGGCAAGTGGCTTAACTTTATCTCTTTGTTGATAGCCACCCCAATGATTATCATAAGAAGTGACCATTTCAGGTACTTACCGGGAGCGTACCTTGGTCAGCCGAGTTTGAATCCAAGGACAGGCTAATCCAAGTCTAATTTATTTTATAGGCTTTGTTATTTATATTTCGTACTTTCAAATGATTTCGTGAGACCGTTTCTATGGTAGCACTAAATTTGCGGTCTCTCTCTTCACAAGCGGGTATTATCTCTCTCTCTCTTCGTTTTCATTTGAACTACAACAAATTCGTAACTTTTATTTTGATGTTGTTGAATGAATATGAAAAGCTCATGGTTTTCTTGTTGGTTGGAGGTTTGAGCCTTGCCCTTTATTTGTGTCTCATTTGCTCTAGTTTTCAATGTGTTTGGTATTACATTTCACCGTATTTTGGGTATTGCCAAAGTTTTATGAGTCAGGTTTACCGTTAAATGAACGATGACAAAGAAGAAGGATAAGGACAAGGACGAGAAAAAAGTGGAGGGTCAAAGCCATAAAAGAAAACGAACTGGCAAATCGGGACATGAGGTAAAGGCCAAGGTGAGTTTGATCACTTTTGATCACTTTTGTTGAACAGGAGGCACTATACGATTATCTGTGAGCGCGTTCATACTTCGTGATCCAATCGACTGGATCGCGCCATCGGATCGCCCGAGCAATTGAATCGCGCTACCACGATCGGAGGCACACCATCACCAATCGATTGGTTGCCGCACAACAGACGCTACGGCAGAATTTGAATTGGGCCGCGTTGGCTGATTGTGGAGCGAATTTTGTCGTGGTCGCGCCATTCATTCACTCGAGCCATCCAATGGCACGATTTTAGCAGCCAGGTCACGAATCTCTTCCGTGCAAAGTAGGCAGGTCGGCAAAGCAGAAGTGTAGCATACCACCATTAGAAATTATGAAAAAAGAGGCTTGTGATTGCTTTATATTCAAGTGTCCGCCCTACATCCGATAGAGGGTACGCGTGCAAAAGTATACCGCACGACATACGGCCATCCATACGCATGATGCGCCCGACTACGCATGACTGGCCGTATGGCGTCGGGCTGTTGTCGGGCTGTTTATCGCGTTGAATGGAAGGTGAAGACATAAGGAGCAGCAGGCTGCAAACGTCTAACTCCATCGAAGCGCACTCTTGCATGATGAGAGTTTTGCTCTTGTACTGCTGCCGACGTACCTATCGCGCTTGTGAAAGGATTTGCTCCCCAGATGATCGCTCAGTGCTTCCATAGTGTTCGGCTTTGTTCGGGCTTTGTTTCAATCTGTCTTCTACAGGTAGCGAAAAAAGAAGACGGTGATAGTGAAACTCGAGAGTTGAAGGAATCATATTCTCTCCAACTTAAAAAGATAAATGCTCATTTAACGTGTAACCTATGCAAGGTTTGTTGAAAGTTCTCTTTTTCTGTTTTCTTTTGTGAGAATTCGCTACCATCTGAGTGCTATTCAGGGTTATTTAATAGACGCAATTACTGTGATCGACTGTTTGCACACTTTTTGTAAAAGCTGTCTGTTGACCTATTTTGAAGAAGAAGACAATTGCTGCCCCAGCTGTGAGCAGTTGATTCATCAGTCGCATCCTAGCCACTATGTGGCTTTTGATCGCACTATGCAAGACATCGTGTATAAACTAGTTCCTGGTAAGTTATGTTGTTTACTGGAAGTCAAGGCAGTTGGAGAAAGAGGGGAGGAGGAGAGGGAACGCGCTGGCGCCACTGTGCCACGTTAAGCTGGAATGAGTCTATAGGCCTTTTGTGTGAGACCATGAATTTGTGTTTTAAGGGTTGCTGGAATCTGAACGTAAAAGGCGGCTCGATTTTCTCAAAGATAAGAAACGTATGGCTGGTGAACAGGTTGATGAAGAAGAGGAAGAATCTGAGAAGAAGGTATTTGGCGTTGTGATTCTTTGGACTGAAACTTTTTAGAGGTTCAAATGCGTTATTCGAACAGGACGAGTCATCACAAGGTACCAATAGGTGTTTCGAAGGAGAGCCAGGAATTTCGCATCACAGAAATGACGAACATGTAAGTGCTTGATCTAAATAAGAAGTGTAGCTGGTACAGGGGTTTACTTTATGACCAGGGAAGTCCGCCAAGTTAAGTGTACCTGTGATCCAGCATTTTGAGCGTATGCCCCAAAGCCGATGTGAACGTTTCCGTGGGTAGCTTTGAACTTTCGTGGGCACTCGCTGGAAACGCTCAAAACACCGCACCGATGACATGCTTTCCTTGTAGCTGAAAACGGTGGCGTGCGCTTGACGCCAAATATGAACGGATTCTCATACATTTTTATATGAACGAGGTTCATTGATTTTGTACACGTTATTCAGATGATTGTTTCATTAACTCCCGGAGCACCTGATCTGCCAAAACCAACCCGCCCAATTGTCCGGTTAAGTGGTATGGCTACAGTGAACACTCTCAAAAGGTATTACTTATAGAGAATACGGCAGCTCTCAGACTTCGCGATGACGCGCGTTCTTGCGCTTCGGCTGCAACAGCGCTCCAATACTACAGACGCGAATCTAGGCGGAGATGGCAATCGATCGGCGCCGGCAGCATGTGTTTCGGGAGAGTATAGAGGAATTGGAGGGTATCAGATTCTGTGAAGCAGCGTCTACCCTTCTGTTATCCCATACTCTCTCAAACGAAGCGACCGACGCCGATCGTTTACCATCTGCGGCTGCGCTCGCCTCGATAGTGCCGTAGTATTGTTGCAATTGCAGGGCGTCGTCGCGCGTTACAGCGCGTCATTGCGAACTCTGAACGCTACCTAACTGAGCTCCGAAATGGCTCTCAATTTATGTTTTTTCTTATTTTTATAACCATGAGATCTTAGGATTGCTTGCAGGTATTTGGCGCAGTCGATGTGGTCAAATATGTCCCGGTATAGCGAACTGGATTTGTTTTGTAATGACGAGCTGATGGGTCGCGACTTCTCGATGCGTTTCATTCACCTGACCAGATGTCGAAATAAGCTCAAAGATGAACCATTGAAACTTGTTTATCGATATCACATCGATTTTTAGTCAAAATTGTGATTTTTGTCGTCGTATGCATTTCATGAAATACTGCTCATTTTTTATGTACATAGTATTAGTAATTATTTTTCTGTATAATGGCTGATCGTCGTCGATGTTCAGGTAGAATCAGGTTTATTACCCCCCCCCCCCACTTTCCTAGGATGTCACTGCTGTAGGTATTTTTGGAACGAATGTAAGGTGTTTGCCTACAGCCGAGTAGTTAAGATTGCTTTACGTTGCATTTTCTTACATCTTCATAACGTGATCTCGTTTTTTGAGGTTAAATTTATGGCTGAATGTGCTGTACTCGTGACATTTGTGTCTCGATCACAGATTATTTTCACGAAATTTCGTTTTTATTTTATTTAATTTGCAACTCGGAATGGATCACTTTGTATTAGTGCAGCTCGCATTCATAGCTCCATAGCGCGTTCATAGTTCGCGATCTAACCACTCAGATTACGCGATCGGCCCAATAGGATTCTGTCGTTGTGGCGGTTCATCGATTGGCAGTGGACAGCGCCCCGGTTAGCAGGACAGCCTTTCCAGCGCCAGTCTATCGCGCGTTTATACTTCGCGTCCATACCAGGTGATACTCGATGGTTTCCTCTGTAGGACGTGCCCTGGGCCTTGCTCAGCTGTTGTAATACCAGGAAAGTCGTTTGGAAGGGGATACTTCACAATCAGGGCACACCGCCGTAAAGGATCCTCAGTCGTGTTCTGGTTGGTGGAGGAGGGTTTCGTACCTGCCTCTGAGGAAAAATAATCTCGGTTGTCGAATTTTTGTCACCTCTTCCTTCCCCCCTCCCCCACCTCTGCTTGACAACCAACGAATTCTTCCGTAAAAGTGGTAGAAAGCTGGAAGATTAGAGACCTTAGAAAGGTCTCTTGTAGGAAAGAGAAGGAGTCATACTGGGAGGGAGAGAATTTTGAGGAGGGTCGTACTTTGCAAAAATTTTTTCAAGAGTAGGGAGAGCCATGATGGCAATGGTAACTTCTGCACATGCGGTGAACACGATCGAAGTGTGCGGCGCTACTGCGGTTGGAAACACATACACGGCGGCGCGACTAGGTGCGCTATTCGGAGCCCTTTTCCCCATGATTGAGATTGCTCTCCCTGCAGAGACTGAGGGCCTTCAAGATTCCTTGATGGTAGTCGTACTCTCAGAAACTTTCCTATGGATAACTTGTGCCGTGCCCAGAGTCCAATCCCTAAATAGCGCTGATGAAAGCGTAAAATGCGTACGGGCTGTATTGCCAGCGCGCCTCTGCCGCGGACACATAACTTCAGAGAGGATTTGTATAAAATCAAACGGTTTATGAAAGACTGAAATCCTTCAAGTAACACAGATACCTACTGGAGCCAATTATCAGCTTAGGGCCCAGTTTGTGTAGGCATGGACTTAGCTACCTCACCTAAAGAGCAGGTTCATAATGAAAGTGCGGAACCAGGCGCGGAGATTCTCGATCTGGATTGTTATCGCACGAAATCGAATGATGTACACGACGTCCAGCTGCATGTTTCTGCTTTCGTTTTCATGAGAATACGTTCTTATTTTTTTTCTCTGCCAGCTCAGTACTTCTACGTCCTGCCGCCTCCCTTAGAACGTGGAATTGCTTGCTTTTTTTTCTATTGAGTTATGTTGAAGGGGCATGTGAGTATGGGACAGCATCATAATGCTAAATCCCGGGGAGTACTTGGTCGTTGGGGATGGTCATGGCCGTGTTTGATAGATGCTCCTCGTGCTCCTCCTACTGATTGGCGCTGCATGTCCCTATACAGTTACTATTTTTGATAGTCGACGAAATTAGCAGTTGTTCGATGATGACCTCACCCCTTCAGATGATAAGCTGGAAAAGTATTTGGAAGAGTGTTAGGAAGCTAGCGAAACTTGGGAGGTAGAGAGGTGGTATGGAGGGACAGAAAACCGGAGGATTTAGGAGGGGGGGGGGGCGTCTGACAACACCATTTCTCCAATTTTGATGCTGTTCTTCATGCGGGCATGTCTTCTATCCTCCTTTACGGCTGTCCTGCGAGAACCTGCGGTGACTCTAGTCGGCTATATTCTGCTGTTCGTGGACTTGGTGAGGGAAACGGCCAAGGGAGCGCTGTCGCGTCTCCCTCCCCCTTCCCCGAACTACGCTAGTACCTTGCCCAATGTCCAGTGTCGTTGCGAACATAGCGTAACTCCAATGTCTTCTAAGAAAAGTCATGTTCAGGTGGATGAAGACGGTCCTGGGCGATCTGCAGATTGTTGTGGATCGGCACTCAGACGTTCTACGTAATAATGCGTTGCCGTTTCGAGTCCTCCTCGCTCTCAGGATACTAGGTGAGACTTTCATTGTCGGTGTTCTTTCCCCTTGCATCTGTTTTTTGGAAACTCATGGTGGCTTTCAACTTACCTTCTAAGTGCCTTTCCAAAGGGGTCCAGACCTTCGTAGTGATATCTTACAATTTTGTTTTCAGGCTTCGTCATCTCTCCCATAGCGGTTGCATATAATTCCTTGGCGTTATTACCGTTTCAATTGTTTTCGATTGAAATTTGGCGTTTAATCACGTGTCATTTCGTTGGTCATAATGTTCTTTTATTTGCTTGGACGGTCTGGAGTTTGCATTTTGGGACAAATCTTATAAGGCAGAATAATAGTAACGAAAGCTTGTTGAAAATCTATGCAATCACGCAGGTAAGATGAACAACGAAAATTTCTGATGTCATCAGCGGAAGAAATTAGCCTAGGTTTCAACCGTCCTCCTAGTTTGTGGAGCCGCTTACGGTCTCTATGCATTCGCTGCGAAAACTACACTTCTCTACGAGTCCCACATTGTTGATATGGTACCGCTTAATTGCGCTGTGCTCGTCCTAATTAAACAGGTATGCCTTTTTATTGTTTGGAAGTTAATTTCAATTATTTCATTTCACTAGTTTTTCGCAGGCTGCGTCTTCAACTTGAGGTTGCGTTCATACTTTGCGTGAGCGTTTTGAGCGTACGGCAGGATTTGGAACGGCTACCCACTCAGAACTGTCCTTGAAAACACAAAAAAAAAACGCTTGCGTACGCAAAATGCCAGATCGATTTGTATTCTCTCCAACGCATTCGTATAAAAGGTCGAC